ATCTCTATATATTGACGAAAGAATCCGCAAAAGGGTCACCACATATGCAAGCGGAGACAGTTTTTGGCTCAGCCAACGATTACAATACTTTAAGAGACTTCTTGCGAAAGCTTAAAAACACTCTAAACACTTAATAATCATACTTTAGAAACTTCACTTTACTCGTCACTTCGGACGATAAGTCGGGGTTACTATATTCTTGGCGTATGCGTGTATATGTGTGGTCGAAAGAAAGATCTACGCGCGCGCAAGCTAAAGATACCCGATAATATTTTTCGGCTTATCGTGACGATTTGATTAAATGATAATTTCGCGATTTCCAGAAACGCTTTTAAATCTTCGCGCGTAGATCCTTCATGATATATGTAATTGTGTGTGATGTGTTTGTTCATACGAGAAAGAGATTTGGCAGATAGTATACTAATATCGATGACTTTAACAATTTATTTACTCGGCAATACGTATGAATGTCGCTTTTAATGATTATCGTATATATCGACAATAAGTCATTAATAAGGCAACGCTATGAAAATTCTTTTCCGAAAGAAGTTAAACAGAATAAACGACGAATGAACAATCTCAATGTAGAGAATTATTTTATAACTGAGATTTGCGTTTAATACTAAAAATAGTCATATCAGATTTAGCTATTGTGGATTTTCCTCGTAAACAAAATTCGCTTATTAACTGTCTGGATAAAGAAATTTGGATTGATAAGCTGTGGAAAGATTATGGAATATGTGTCGAGAGAACATAATTGATCGGCATTTTAATTGAAGAACTTCACGGAAAACTTATACGATGTGTTTAGAATAGACATTTATAATCACGATGCCATTAAAATGATGCATCAATAATTATGCAGCTTGCGTCACTACTATCATCATAGTACAATTAAAATACACGAAAGAGACGTTCATTTAACACACGCGGTACAAATAGCGTAGCAATATATTTTATCGTGATAAAATATAATGCAAGTTCGGATTATAATCGTAAAATATAGAGGTCAAAGTCAGACGGACATTTTTGCACCTCTGTTATAATTTGTCCCCGTGTTATAATATATTGATTATCTTGAGTTTTAAGTGGCTAAGAAAATCGTGTCTAAATGTGTCATGTGAATAGCAAAGAATTAAATACTGCCCACTTCACTACGAGGTATAATTAAATATACGCGAGTTTTGCTGGATACTTAGAAGAGACGATGACACTTCGATCCCTTCAACGTGTCTACGTACCAAAAAGAGACTCGAAAGAGCAAAAAACGGCCTGCGTCTAAAAAAGTCCCCTAATTACGCACGTCTCTCTCTTTTGATTTTACAAATACGAGTACAATAACGATCGATTTCTGTCTGGTCCAATGCACACGAGCGATCCGACGACTAAGAATCTGCGACTGGATCATATTCTACGTTACGTTAGGAAGAAAGAGTTCTAAAACGTTCGATTTGTAAAACATCAAATTTACTACCGACCCGTGGAGAGAAATATTTTCCATAATAAAAAGAAACACGCCTAATTGTAAATTGCCTCTATCAGCCACGCATAGATAAAATGGCCAGAGAATCTAAATAGTGATGTGTCTACGTACGAAGATACTATCTCTTCTCTCTCTCTTTTCACCTATGACTAATTTTTATAATACAGCATTATGCATAAATCTCGATAAACGTATATATAATACAAGTCTCACCGTTAATTATTATTTGCCGTTACATTACCATAGTATAATAGTGAACATTAAGAACATCGAAAAACAGTCAGATAGTGTGAATCTCGTCGTTTCTATATCTTATTATATAATTACCCGCGCGATAAACTATCTATATTTGCTTCTCTAATCGGACTTCATTTATCCTAGTAACGACAACTTTTAGAACTCTCTGGTCTAGTTAACTTCAATAGTTATATTCCGCTTTGGATAAAAAATTTTAATAATAAAAAGCTCCCTTAAATTTTAAATGTATATAAGATCGCTCTTTTTTCTAAAGACTTTTTTTATTCTCACATCGAAAATGTTACACTCTTCTAAATTTGAGATATAAATGTAGTACTGAGTTTACGCAAATACTTTTTTGAAAAAATATAAAATTTTAGGATATTAATAGAAATGTTTCGAGAAATATTTAATCAAATATATTCAAGTGAATTTGAGTCTCGTAAGATGAGATATGCGGCGTTCAATAAAATGATCGAGTTGTAGCCGGAAGTTGTTTAGCTAACAATTGTCTATACTTGCAAATGTCGTCCGATTACGACGAGCAACGTAGCAAATAGAGAACCTAAGAAAGAGAAATGTTCAATAATTTACGGAGCACAGTACAATATCAATCCCCTCTATTAACTCCAAAAATATGTTATTCTTTCCTATATACTTTATATATATATATAGCTACATATCTACCTTTCTCTCTCGTGAGAGAATCAGTATTACTTTGTTTACAGTGATAACATAACTTTATACGAACTGTCCCGTACAACACGATGAATATTACAAGTCCTAACAATGAAATTGTAAGCCTTCCCCCTTATTCTATTTTCTTTTTTTCTTTTTTTGTTTACATTTGACCACTTTTACACAAATATCTTCCCACGCTAAGCACATCTAAGCGTTTCTCAATTTTGCAGTGACTTTATAAATAATCGGCAGGCCAATACACAAGAAATATTGGTCGCGCTTATCATCCTCTTTTGTGTATGTGTGTGCTGCCAACAGATTTATTAATATTAAAACCATCAATTTCCTTAATTGAATAATTTTAATACAAATGAAACCTGTTTTCCGACAACCATTCATGATCCAGTAAATTCTTCCTGCACCGGTGCAGAATTAACTTGGAGATCCCATGCTAAATAAATCTTATTATCAGACACACAATCTCATCACTTTAGGCACTACACCTAAGACTAATATATCACACCCCCCAACCCACAGATGTAATAAGAAACATATGTACATAATCCAAAACGAGATTAAAAGAACTAGATACTTACATCTAATGTGTCATTATCATACTCTATCCGAACAAAAAGAATAATTGTTACAGTTGCGTACGATTGTATATGTAAAAGTTTAATAATTATTCTTTTTTCGTTTTTAAAAAATCGGAGCCAGTTATATGTAAATCGAATTTATATACAAAGAAATTTAGCAGTTTCACACTTGTAACACGAAATAACTCCAACTTTTCCAAAAACCACAGAACATTAAATTTTTGTACATTTTGAATGATACTCTGAGAATTAATGTTACGACAAAAGAACTGTAAAAGTTCATATGATTTAGTTTAGACTTTGAAATTAAAAAAAAAAAAAAAAATTGTTCGCTAAATTGTCAAATAATCGTAACGTCATATCGATCATCATGGATTATTTACTGCAACAATGTATAATCTTCCCGCCTCCTTCCGTACATAATTAATACGTTGAGATTAAGATACAACTCCTCTACATGCTTTATATCTCGCGATATATACGTCGGGCACGCGAGAAAACCCGCTCAAAGTTAATTGTGCACGAATATATACATACATATATATATATATGGTGAGTCTTTTTAATCTTGACAGGCAAATATCTCAAAACCTGTAAGTTTTAGAAAAAAAATTTTTAGACAAAAGTTGTTTGGTTCTGAAGGGGAAAAGAGATAGAACTATTAGTTAGACCTTGGGTGGCATTATTAAGGTCATATCAAGGTCACATTGAATTTTTTAAATTGAAATCTCTATTTTTTATTGCATATTCTTATAGCCCTTGTCGAGATCTTT